CCTTGTTGTCCAGGCAGGCGGAGGCATCCTTGGCAGAGCAGCATTCCCCCCGGACTTTTTCGGAGGCGTCGTATAGCTTGCCGAGGAATGCGTCGGGGACGCTGGTGTGCCGCCGCGCCAGCTCAAACAGGTACCTGGAGCGGGGAGGAGGAGCTGCCCTATGAGTTTTTATTACCGGTGCTGCTCAGTGTGGGACGGCGGCTGCTTTTCGCATCTTTGTGCAGCCCCGATAGCCCGGAGGGAAGAGAGGATGCTCTCCCGCTTATCCTAATAATAATCGAGCCATGTAACGAAGGCAAGGGGATAAGGAAGGGTCGGCAGCTCAGCCGCCGCGGGCACGGCACACCACCTGGTGAGCCCCCTCCTCGCCGCACAGCTGCTCGTTCGTCGGCTTCTGCGGCTCCGGCAGTTTTGGGGCGGGCGCCGGCGGCAAGGCCAAGATGCAGAAGTAGTTTTGCATGAGGTTTTTCCCCTTGCAGCAGTCGGCGACCCGTCCGTCTCGGGCCGAGAGCGCGCCGCAGGCTTTGGCCGTGTGCTCCGATAACTGCAAAGAGGGGAGCAGAGGGTGTGCGGGGCTCGGCATCCTGCCGGGGCTGGTGGGGCTGCGGACCCCCTCACCACGATGGGGTTCGCTCCTTAAGCCCCTGCAGTGACTCGGGAGGTGGTTTTGGGATGGGCTCCCGGCTCCCCTACCTTCTTCTGCATGCAATCCTCGTCCACCGAGTCGCAGCACTGGGAAAATGCCTCGGCGGCGTCTTCTGCCAGGGGGAAAAGCTCCTCGAAGGAAGCAGCGGGCATCTTCTGAGCGAGCGAGGCGAGGTAGCTGGGCAGGCACGAGGCGGACGAGGGGCTTAGGGAGCTCAGCTCCCCCTTCCCCTCTTAACAGCTCCAAGCAGGGGTCTGGCCGCGTGGTGCGGGAGGGAGACGATGGGGAGCCGCGGGGCTCGCTCTGCGCCTCCGCTATGCACGGAGCGTTCCCATGGGATGCTACGGCATGCTTGGTTTTACATCTTAACTAAAATATTTGCCTTTGTCAACGCTGCCTGCGAACGGGATCCGTGGCTTGGAATAGGAGCACGCTCCCAGCCTGACCCGCGTTCGGGTTTCCCTCTTACCTGAAGGTGACTTTGTCCTTCCCGTACACCGTGAAGAGGGAGCAAACCCGGTTTGATATCAGGGTGAGGAGGGAGATGGTTTTCCTTTCCAGTTTCTGCCACAAAAAGAAGACGGAGGTGTCCTCCAAGGGAAATGCAAGCCTTCCCCAGCCACCTCTCCTCGGGCCATGGGCACGGTGCTCGCCCGGCTCCCCGGGGAGCAAGGACGGGGATGAGCCCGGCGGTCCGAAGGGCCCTCACCTCCTTCAGGAAGCAGACGGTGGGCGCGGGGGAGATGCAGCAGGTAGAGACCATGGAGAGGAAGGTCTTGGTGGAGCCCAGGAGCACGGGCAGGGGTGCCTGGCTGTAGCTGCTGGCGTAGTCGTGCAAAAACCTACGGCAGAG